ATATAAATATATATATATATATATATTTATATTTAAAGGGTTGGGGTCTTCTCCTTATACAAGGGAAGGAGAATGTGTATGTGATTGTTGTGAGCAATGTGTGACTTTTGATTGAAAAGAAAATAAAGTGGGATTTTAACCGTTCTTAACAAACTATCTACGATAGAGATAGATTTTGGTTTTCATGTTAGAGACAATAATTATAAATCAATTGTTAAATTTTTTAATGATGCAAAGAATATCTGAAACAAATAATTATAATAAAAGATATGATAGTATGAAGTTATGTAGTTGAACATAAAAATCTTTTTTGTCAGATATTTACTTGGACAATAGTGTATATATATCTCACTTGTTGATTTATCTCTTATAATTATATTTATATTTTTTATTTTTTATTTTCTCTTTTTTAATTTTTTATTACTATTTTTTTCCTTTCAAATTTTAGCATTTTTCAAACGAAGTTGGTTTAATACAATTATTAGTACATAATTACTTTAAAAATTTATATATTTTAAAATAATGAATGATGAATTGGAACAGTCTGAAACATTCAAATATGTTCTAAAAATTATATATTAAATCTAATTTTAAGACTTACACAGTCCCTATTAATTAAAAAAATGGGCTGGGTCACTGAATGATTATGCACGCAAGAAAGGTACCACTGAAAGGAAGGAAAAGTTTTTATGGAACAATTGTATTCTAGATTTCTTGTATAACACTATGTGCTAGGTGGTAAAAAATAAACAAGAGAATAAATTTAATGTATTTAATATGAGAATGTTGGATTGGATAAGTAGATATATCGCATAAGATTCAGAATAAACGCGTTAGGAAAAACTTTGACATAACATGATCTATTGTAGAAAAAAATGATAAAATCGTGGTTTTAAAGTCAAAAGACAGTAAGTGTAGGGACACCTATATAGAAGCTCAAGAATAGGAATATAAATGGGTAGGTTCTGGCTGGGACGGATTTATGTTGCATGTTGAGGCTTGGTCCCTGATTTTTTTTTTTAATTTTATTATTTCTAATATAGATGAGACTTCAATATGTTTCTATAATTCTATTATTGACTTTAACAATTTTTTTTAGATATAAATATAGTTAATACTATACTTCGCAATAAGATGAGATTCTGAAAGTATACATTAAAAAAACAGAGTTAAAAAATGCAAGTATAGTAATAGAGATATATTTTAATATAATTAAAGTTTTGAAAATTATATATAGAGAGGAAGAGAAGAGTTACTGTATTCAATCACTGCTAAATAAAAAACAAATTACTCATAACATACATTGAATTTCAATAATATAACGATTTAATTAAAAATTCTTATAAAAAAGTTAATAGATTTTTAAAAAATTTAAAAATTATTTAATATTTTCATTACATAAATTCAAATGAATGAATATTCATAAAAATATATTATATATACTTTAATTTGAGATAAAGAAAATTAGAAGTAACAATAGATTATATACATCACTCCTTAGAATAAGTTCCAAGAAGAAACAATGTTAAGTGTCTATAACTACCAACATTAAGAGTACACTAAATCCAAAGTATAAGGAGTGATATATATAAACGCCATGAACACCTATGAGGCAAAAAACTGATTAATATAATTACTTTATTCAACTATTAGAGAGAGGGGTAGGAAAAAAAGAGAGAAAAATGTAAACATGTTAAACTAATTAAGAAGAAGGGGAAGAGAAAGAAGAAAGAAAGGTTTATATTATGATATAATAAGTAAAAGAAATAAAGAAAAATATGTGCGGATACTATATAGAATGTTCTATATATTCAAGTGTATATATGACAATAGAGGCAAGACAGAGATATGTTACAGTAACATGGGTTTAGGAAAGAAAGGCAGGCAACTTGTAAGCTGAAAGAGGAAAAAGGATAGGCGCCGCCGCAGGATATATATGTACATCAGAAGATGTGATGCATGCGGTTTTTATTACTTTGATTTAGAATTTTGAAGAAAATTAAGGAGAAAAAAATTGTACATCATTGCTTCAATTTAGGCCATGCACGTCTAAATAATATATATCTATATATAGTTTGGTAGTAACCCAGACTAACGAATAATTAAAATTGACAAACCAAGTTCCTTTTCTCGTTTCTAATTTGATCCAATGTTCATGGTTACCACCAATCACAATATTGCAAAGTGTATTAAGTAACCATCAAACTGGCTATCATGATATCAGCACTTGACAAACATTTTTACAGAAACAGAAAAGTAAACGAATTGAAAAGGATATATATATAGCATGTAAAAGGGATATGCATGATTACTATTATACATGACAGGGAAGGTTCCTTTTACACTTGCTGCACTTAAGAAGAAGTTGAAGCGCCACAAGGATAATTCCAATTGAGTAACTCTTCAATCATCTGCAAAGCAATTCTATCCTCTTCTTCCACCACCTCATTTCCAGCACCATGATCAGTACCACAACTTAGTGGCGAGTCCACAGACTCACCACTACCCTTGGTTTGTTTGTTGCCGAGCTCAACCCTCATGACCCAGTTGGAGCCAGAATGTGGCCCTGCCCCTTTCTGCCAGACTCCAATGTGGGAATTGTCAGCATCAAGCCTCAGACAAGTGAGGGATGGAGCAGGGTCTTTGCAGTACTTCCTGAGCTTTGTGCTGAGGAGTTCTGAAAGAGCCTTCGGAGATAAGAAAGTGTCATCATGATCTTCTTCAGGTTGGTTCTTTGAAGTGGGGAAATTCGTCTTTGCATTCTGACCATTCATCAAAATGGCTGCTTGGTCATATGCCCTTGCTGCAGCCTCAGCTGTCTCAAATGTCCCTAGCCACACCCTTCTCTTCCTGCATCACTCAACAAAAATAATAAGCATACCGAGACAAAAGGTGGGTTATGTATATATAAAAGTAATAATGTAAATGTTTCGGTCTATATATCTTTAGTATCACCGCATCTGAGATATTGTCTGAGATATTGTCTGATGACTCGATTGCCTGTCATTATTATCAGATCTAACCGACATCAAAGCGGACAATATCTTGAATACAGTAGCGGTAACAATGTGAGGAGAGTTGTGTAATAGTGACAATGATGAATAAAGGAGCTGCATTGTGCGATTTGCATTAGTTTTGAGTTTAATGAGATGATTACAATAAAGGGTGGCGAATTTCTGACACCCAGGAGCCCCACTGGCGTTGCCTGACTCCTCTGAACTTCTTGGATTGTACCATGTCTTTGTTAATTGGTGCGTGAGAAAGTAGTTGTTATATAGAGAGAGAGAGAAGCAAAGTACGAGTACGAGGGGGCGGTGAAGGGAATTAATAGGGATTTGGTGTAACTCTAACGAAATTTATATGGGTTGTCGGTGAGGATTGGACGGAAAGTGGAAGTGGAACAGTACACATGCAATAAAAGTTTCACCTGCACAAGTTTGATAAATCCATGGCTCCTTAACAACTCAAATTAAATGAGAAGCGGGTAGGGCTCATTCTGCCCACAAATATTACAGCATCAAAGCTGTGTTCCATTCTCTTCCATCCACACGTTCAAAACTTGCAAGTGGTTAGCTTCTTTTCCAACACGGAATGTGAAAAAAAAAATGCTAGAAAAAGAGTGTAATTTCACCTTTTCAGCTCACTATAACCTGAGGATTCCTTCCTTATAAGTCCCGAGATAGGGTACGGTCGATCGGCTAACGTGAAAGCGATTAAAAGCCTTCTCATCATCACGTGATTCCTAAATGGAAAAAGGAAAAAATATATTTTCACACCCAAATACTAACTGATACCAGGTGAAATAACTCATAACACTTGTAATGACAATGACAAATTATTTAGATAGAAATTCTGTATTTAATTTTTATTGCGTGTATTTTTTTTAAACAAAAACAATCACACTAATGTGATTAAGATTATTTCTAATTCTGTAACCTCAGAAATACCTGTAAAAAGATACTAAGTAAAAGAAGAAAAAAAATATAAATATGATAAGTAATGTAATGTGACGTGAAGGAATAAATAAAGAAAAATGGAAGGTGTTGATGTGATCGATATTTAAAATAATAAGGTGTTAACAAATCATTGTTTAATAGAAAATTGTTTTATGTACGACATAGGGGACAACAACCCTTTTATTTTATTTGGAATGGATTTTTGAAATAGTGATGATAAATTAAGGGAGACACCTATATCATAAATACTTTTGGCACCTTAATTATTTATAGTTGTAATATTGTATCTAAGTGAGTTGGGTGAGTTAGGTGAGTTGTGAAGGTCTCTGGTCAAAGCTCTGGTTGACCCTAAGATAGTAGGGGTGAGCAACGGGTGGGTTTGGTCGGGTTCGGGTGAAAAATGTCCAACCTATTGTAAACCGACTTTGAAAAAATGTGACCCATATCCGACCGACTGAGCTTTCGATTTGAGGCGGTTCGGGTTGAAACGGATTCGGATTTAAGCGGGTGGGTATAATCGGGTTTGAATTTTTTTGTAAACCAATTTATCTTAAGGAAGATGAAGCTTAAAACGATAAAAAATATTTTTAAAATAGTGTATAAAAATAGAATGAAGGTGACAATAGATGGTGTAAGTAGATTCGTAGTTGAAACATTTACAAACTAAAGAAGCAAAAATAAAAGATAACAAAATTCATAGTTGTTACATGGAAAAGAAATATAAAGTTAGATTACAAAATCATAAGAAATCACAGTCACACAAAATGTACTCAAAATGGAGATAAGAAGATGGAAAAGAAAGACAAAGAAAGAAGCAAAAAGATAACTCTAAAAATGGACTAGTGTGTTGAGAAGTTGAATGAGGAAGGAGAAGACAAAATAAATATCTAAGTTATGAGAAAAAGGAAAAAAATAAGTTACAAATTGATGGCTATATTATACTTGAAATAAAGACTTTTAAGTTTGGACCATTGTTGTTTAGTTATACAAAAGTAATAAAAATTTAAACTTATCTCATTTTCGGTTGGGTTCGGTTTTTGGCGGGTTTAAAAATTCAAAACCGAAGCCGCCCAATATAACCCGTATAAAATCAAAATTTTAACCCGATTTACCCATAAGACCCGCCCGAACCCACCCAAAAACAATATTTTTTATCGGGTTTTTCGGGTTCGGTTCGGGTGTCGGTTTAATGCTCACCCCTATAAGATAGAGTCTGACTCTCTAAAACTTTCTCCTCATTTTCTTCTTTCAGATCCTCCTTGAGGGTAGGTGTATCTGTGGAGGCGTTGATTCAAAGCTGAAGCCAAGAATCTTTGGTGCTCTTTGGGCTTAGAGTGGTTTTTCCTTTTCCTTCCTCTTCTTTAATTTTGGTTGGCTTGGAGTTGAGGTAAAGGGAACTAGGACTAGTTTTTGGTGTTTGAATTGTTGAATGCATGTGGTTACTTTCATCTAACGTGGTTGTATGGTTGAGATTTTTGGACGCTTGGATGAAAGTGAGTGGTTTTTGGTGTTTTGAACTATGAAGGTGTTTTGGGTGATTTTCAATGATTGGTGTTACATGTTGTTATTTAACTTAGATATGAGTTGTATGAGGTTCCTATGATTGTTCGGTGTCATTGCATGTTTAATTGAGTTGATTTTCAAGTGAAGGAAACAATTTTCGAAGTCTATAATTATAAATTTTTGATGTCACGTCAAGCATGCCTTCATGGCGTTGGGTGAAATTTCAACCAAAGGTCTTTGCCTTGATCACGTCAAACACATGATCAGTGGCACTAGGCATGAGGGGAAAGATTTATCTCAGGTTGGGACAATGTCAAACATGATTTGAATGACGTTAGGTGTGAGATTCGTTTACTCTAGGATGTAAGTCTACGTAGACTTACTCTCCGTTCAATAACTCATGTTCTATATTGAATTTCAACGATCCAACCGTTAAATTTAAAGCTTTTAATACATAGATCAAATTTGTAAATTTTTAAAAAATTTGCAGACTTGATTTATGCATTAAGAACTTTAATTTCAGCAGTTGAATTGTTAAAATTTGATGTAGAACATAAGTTATTGAATAGAGTAAGTCTAGATAGACTTACTCCTAGAATAAATAGATCCCTCCTAGAGTAGGTATTCATTACAAATGTTTGAGAAGTTTGTTAACATACACTCACTTTCTTTTAGAAGAAGTATATTAGCGAGTTATAGCTATAATTTGCTTAAAATACACCTTTGAATTAAAGTTAGCGAAATTATATTCAATTTTCAACAAATAATTATCCTCATGTGAAAATCACTATTATTATTATCGGTACTACTTTCATCATAGTCATTGTCATATGATAATATATGAAGAAAAGATAAATACTAGAATGAGAGAGTTGAATAATATATATTAAAAACTTACACTTTTCATAGCGAAGTAGTAATATTAGTCGAATGAAGTGTAAAGAGAAGTTAAAATAAGAGAGTTGAATAATGTATACTAAAATCGTCTTTTGACTTAACATGACTACATGATGATAGAAGCGATAATAATGATAGTGGTAATAAATTCAATGAATTTGTATAGGTTAGTCTTTTTTTTTAGCTTAATAAGAATGTATTTTTTTCATTGAGTCTGACTTTGATCACTACAAAAAAAAAGTCAATTTAGCCACCGAAATTAGCGACCGATTTTTTTCTGTCGCTAGTAGCGACACAATTAACGACCGAATCTGATTTGGTTGCAAATTTTATTTAGCGACCGAATTTTTTAGTGGCAAATAATCGGTCGCTAAAATAATAATTGTTGGTTAAAATAGCGACGAAACGGTTTCGGTCGCTAAAAAAATAAAAAAATATTATTATTTATAATAATTTTAGCGACTAAATTAAAATTGGTTGCTAAAAAAATAAAAGTATAATTATTTATAATAATTTTAGCGACCAAATTAAAATCGGTCGCTAAAAAAAATTATTATTTATAATAATTTTAGCGATCAAATTAAAATGGGTCGCTAAAAAAATAAAAAAATATTATTATTTATAATAATTTTAGCGACTAAATTAAAATTGGTTGCTAAAAAAATAAAAGTATAATTATTTATAATAATTTTAGCGACCAAATTAAAATCGGTCGCTAAAAAAAATTATTATTTATAATAATTTTAGCGATCAAATTAAAAT